ACAGAGATAAAAATGTCAGTGTCTGAAAAACCATTTCCACTTTATAAGCCTTATCGCCAGCATATGCACTTGAGTATAGGTTCTGTAACGCGATGCACAAATAAATCAGTTATCCGATGAGGTAAAGGATACCGATGGTGGTAACACTAGGAAAAAAATTCGATTCATACAAATCGTGATAAGGGCGTTGAGTGCGTGATCTAAATTCCTGGAGTTTATACGCTTAGGAGACAAAAAGGGTTATCCATGTGATTGGTAAAATTTATGTATGACATGAGAGCATATATATATCATAATAAGTAGTAAATGAATGATTAGACAAAATTTCNTTCCCATATATAATGTTATGGTTCAATAATCGTTATAAAACAGAAAAACATTCTTTGATTTGCATATGGACGGACTACTGCCAGGTTGCTCAGGCCAAGGCAGGTGATTTTTCTTGAGGAATACACAACCGGAGGCTTCGGCTAGCCAAAGCCTGACCCACAAGCAGCTGGGCTGTATGTGAAAACCGCAAGCTGAAAGCTTGTATGTAACTCGCTAAAGCTTCAATGCAATACAATGAAATCTGTTGGGGGCCAGTTTCCAGTGCATGGGAGACTACCAGAGTCACATCTCTAAATTTTTCATTGACGGGAGGCAGTCACGGTCATTTTGAAGTGATTAATAATTCTCTGCATTTACCAAGTTAAGCGGTTCAATATCGTTGACAGGAATTCGGTTGTAGCTTGAAAAATGGCCGGGGGCCGCAGTTGTCAACATAGAATAACTGGGGAACTGAGGGTCAGAGTGGTCGTATGAGTGTTTGGCTCCGACCAAATCATCAAACTCATCGTATAGCGAAATACAGTGAGGTGAACTTCACTGATCGCTGCCAAACTTGCAATGCATACAAGGTTAGTGGTAAAATTTAAGGTGGACAGGGAGGGGGAAGAAGGTGAACCTCTATGGTCAACACGCAGAGTGCGCAATCGAACTCTGCATACGACCAAAAGGCACTTAGTGTCCTATTTTCCACACTTTCTTTGAGAATGTCTTCATAGACAAAGACTAGTGTGTTTCCTTTGACACTGCGAATGAGTGGTTCAGTTTCGATCTCCACTGAAGGCGAAGGATATATGAATCAAAATACCCTGGGGGACAAATCATTGAGAGGAAAGGTGTTCAGAGTCATACGGTTGTGACTTCTTCCTGTGGGGATTATAACGATCTTCCTCTATCGTAAGAGCGTTTTTTGAAGCGTAAATTTGTCAATTCCAAGAGTCCCATTCGAATTCAGCTGGAGACAGTAATTAACCCCCCAAACGAGCTTTTTTAGCCAGTCAACGGCTGTCTGAACGATGCCCTTGCAGATTTTAATCTATCCACTCCTCAAAATAAAATGCAATCTCGACTTCGGCTAGCTATTTAATCAATTAATTAAATTAATTTAATTTAGTAAACCTGTTTCCACAGTTTCTCAGTAGTTGGCAGGTTTGTTAGGTGTTTTATTGCATATGCTGTGATACACATACAGGATATTTACCAGTCCTGCAGATTATTTCTAATATTTATCCTCTCTTTCGGAGAACATCGATATTTATCTGGCTCGAAACAATAGCAGTCTTTCCTCATCTATCTTGGGGGTTAACTTCCGGTCTTCATTCCTGTTTGTTATGAGAGAAAATTCACGAAGTAGAGATTTTATCATCATTATATATATATATATAATGATAAAATATATATATATATCCATCACACATTCCAACTTATTTTGTGTATATTGTGAGTTTGGCAGCGGTCGATGCAGTTCGCTTCCTTATATTTCGCCGTACAAAAAAGATGTTTCCTTTAGCATATCCGCAGACTTTACACTTGAGGTAGCCTACTGGCTCTGATTCAGCTTAGTTCATTTTCATAGATGCGTTGATATTTCATATCTCTTTATTTGCATTGCTTTGTTCTTACCATCGGGTGTTCTTTCCATGCTCCTTTTTGTCTTTTGCCAGAATGGTTTATAACATTGAGTTCGTCACCCAAATATGAGATTCAAAAATGGGTTTAATTGAAAGAGCACGTTAAGCAAGGCCCAAAATCAGGTAATTGGGTGATGTGTTGGCCTTTACTTTGACCATCTATATTTACCTCTGAAACGGTCAGTAACGAAGAAAGAGAAGCAGTTTGTGGATTGCACTCTCCGCAATTTATCTACTTAGGAACGCGAAGTATCTGGGGTTTCCTCTTGACGATGGGGAATCTTCTTTCTCTATTAAATAGCTGTCATCTACCTAAGCTGTGCATCCCTCAGTCAATAAGGCGCTACCCCATCCACGTTACGCCTGTTTTACCAAGCATGAAGCTCTGAGGGCCAACTGAAATTTCTGTTAGACAGTGGACTAGTTGCTGACTAGAATTCCGACCTCGAAAAAGAACAGATAACAACCTCGATGCAAATGTTTATTAAAATATTTGATTATTTTACATCTGGCCGTATTTTTTCCAAGTAAACATTTTTGCATTTGCTTCCGTTTACAGAACATCCGGTTCATCTGCAAAGGAACGAGTGATCCAGCCTCTTCACTTGTGAATGATGCGAAATCCGATTCATTTTCCAGCTCTTACCGCCGAACGTATGATCAAACGAAATCATTCCCGTGGCCTTCTAAAGAGTCTCATACAGGACTTCCACACAGACCCGAGTTCACAAAGCAATGGTGCTAATCAAACTGCTCATTTAGTCTTGGATGAAGCAGCGAACTCCACGCTACTTAGTCTACAATTGGAACAAACACTTCGAAACGATTCTGCTTCCTATGCCACATTCTCAACCAAAACGTCGACAGCAGCAAGGGCTCGTGGTTCGGTCTCTTGGTCCACTGTCTCGGTCAGTCCTCTTAGTTCCACATCCACCGCTCGTTCCGGCTTGGAAATAGCAGCACCGGAAGACACGGCCGATGCACGTATTGTGTTCGAGCCAACACCTCCACCCACAAGCAACGGGGCCCCCGGTTCGGAAGAGGCACTACTCAACCGATCATCTGTGCTCTTTGTTGCCGTGTCTTTCATCTTGTTGATGGTTATAAGCCTCGCTTGGCTCGTGTTTTACTATGTGCAACGATTTCGTTATTTGCACAGTAAAGAGCGTGTGTCGGTAAGCTTATACTTGTGAACCTCACAGTATTGTCTTCCGAGGTTGTCACAGTACTTCCAGTTCGGTATTTCAGGAGTGTCGTAAAATATCCTTATATGTTCTTCAATTGGTGGTGGATAGCTGCTAAAATCTGGTGTTCACTGCAAGATTATTTTATTCTCATAAAGTTCTGCTGAAAGTTCGACCCCGTGGTTTGTCTGGACAGCCAAAGTGTTACCTTAGTAACTTTTCGCTTACTCGTTTAAACGATAGCACACCAACAATAATCTTATTCTGATTCGAAACCCCCGGAAGAACGTTCGCTGTGGCACTAAAACCATAGCAACGTTTCCAGTTTTATTTAAGTAGTTCCAGTGTATTTTAACTCCTTGTGTCCACTCGGAAATTGTGTTCCAGTTTCACATAAAATTAACTGCTGATTTACATCGATAGCAATGGGTTTAACATGTGTTCTTCAGATTAACTGGTTAACTCGACTATTCTTCCTCTCTGTCACCTATTTGTCATTATCACTAATTGGCTTTTCACTCCGTGGCTTTCGGGTAGTTGCGTTGACTCATAGAATGTGTGTGTGCGAACCAGTGTTAATTGTGAATGATGCAACTCAGCGGTTCAAGTTGGGGGTTCAACTTCAGTCGGTGTCTCAGTCGGTAAAAATGCTTAAGGAGTAATCCAACTAAATGGGACTCCACTCCGCTTTACCCGCTGCCTTGTGGTAAGGTTCATGTCAGTACCAAAAGCTTTGGCTGAGAACCCTATTCCTTCTCCTGCTTAGTAGTTGGACATCCTACCATCAACCGTTCATAAAGCTCCAATGAATGCACGAACAAAAGATAATTTCACACTGCATTGGTCGTCTCTCATGATGGGTAGTGATAAGTGGGGTACTGCTCAGACATCCCAACCTTTATTCTCTGTCTTCTACACCCAAACCTCGTCCTTTGCTCCTTCTTCCAACCCATATAATCCCATTAAGCAACTTTTTGCCACTCGCCAGAGGTCGATGCCAAATAGCACTACAATTATTTTGCCACTAAGTAAAGTGCATGTTTTGAAGGCTCATCAATCTCCCAATCTGGGATCTTCGACGTGAGGACTGTGATGCAATTAGCTTGTCTGGAACGTCCAATGGACTCTTTAGAGATCGATGTCCGTTGTGTATCGGAGACACGAATTCAGGATTCTAGTAGTATAAGTCATGTGAGTGCACCATATCTGTCATCGAGGTACTTCCTCTGTACATCAGGAGACGACAAAGCCCGCTGTTCGGACCAGCGAGGTGTAGGAATCGTACTAAGCGATAAAGCTGAGGCCTCACTGTTAAATTGAATATTCGCCAACAGTCGTTTGTGCGAAATGAGGCTCAAGGGTTTAGTTAGTGTTCGAAAAGGAAGCAGCACCAAAAGGTGCTTGCCCATCATATCGGTATATGTTCCTACTAACTGCAGTCCTACTTCCCAAAAGGACAATTTTTACGACAAACTCACCGAGCCCATCCGATTAAGCCGTAGCTCTGACTTTATAGTGATGGCGGGTGATTTCAACGTGCGGATTGCAAAACTGAGCGCATCCGAAGCCTGTCTCGGGGGCAGTTTGCTCTTCCCGCCCAGCGAACAGAAAACGGGGGTTGACTACTTCAGTCCTGCGCAGATCACTGGTTGTTCTTATCTAGCACCATCTTTCGACACAGCTCTCATCGGACAGCATCTTGGTGTTTTAGTTCGACGGGTAAGTTGACCCGGTGGTGGCCAAGTGATTAGGTCACCAAATTGCGACCCGGGAGTCCCGGGTTCGAACCGCTCCACCACCGCCCGTCTTCCCTATAGGTGTATTTCCCCAGGCAGCCTTTCTATGGCCGCAACCCCCTTCTTGAAGGTTGGCTGTACATTTGTATATTCAATAAATAAAAAAGGAAGTAAAAAACTTTTTTCAACACAATTGACCAGATAGCTGTAAGCCGTCGTTTGCGTGGCTCAGTACAAAATTGCAGATCCTATTGGACCACCTGCATTGGGTCCGATCGTGCACTAGTTCTGATGCGCTTCACGCTCCGACACAGCGGTCGTAGTCAAAAGCACCTCAGTTTGCGCGATTCATTTGTTTGCGCACGTTATTAGGCAAAGCTTGAACAGGAACTAGGGGAACCGCGATGTGGTGGAGCAGACCAACAGTCGGACCAAATCCAACGGCTAATACATTTGGTAGCAAACTTTACTTGTGGGACTGAGTCAGTAATCCTGATGGAACAAAAAAAATACCAGTCTTCCAGGACCAACATGGAAACCGACAGCTTCTGTAGCGACAGCCCAGGAAAAGCGTTAAGAAAGGTCGCGAAAACTGATGGGCCAAAATATCCAGTGAAATGGAAGTAGTTTCTGTATTAAAGACAGTTTCACCTGATACTCAATACCAGAGGTCGTCGCATACCGGTCAGTGAGACCATTTGCGATAAAATTAGAGAAGGTACCCACAATAAAGGACGACTTGATCGCTGGGCAGAGTATTTTAGTGAAAAGTTCGACTGGACTGGTGCTAATACGGTTATTCCGGTAATTGCAGTGGATACTGCATGGTTGGTAACATATAAGCCCCCATCAGAATAAGAAGTACGAAGCTGTATTCAGTCATTGAAGAGAGGAAAGGCAGCGGGATCTGATGGGCTTCTCCCTATTATTTTCAAGGTGGGCGGTGATCCTCTTGTTGACTCGATTACTAGCTTACTTCACAGCATTTGGTCGGATGAGCATATCCCTTTATCCCAGGGTGAATCGTTGATAGCTCCGATCTTCGAGAAGGAGTCGCGGAACGACTACGCAAACCACTGCGGGATAAGTTTAGTTCCTATAGTCACAGAAGTGGTAACTTCTATGCTGCTTCACCACCTGGCAGTTGAATGGATGGCTATTCGCGAAAAGCAATCAAGATCCCTAACCGGTCCTTGTTCCATCAACCAAATCCTTATTTTGCGTCGGGTCCTCGTCAACCAACAATCTCAGTGTTAAGAAGTCAATTTGGTAATTTGCCAAAATACCACAAAATCACATACATAAACCTATTCCGATCAATGTACCTTCCTTTTTTAGGTGGCGTCAGGGTCTACGGTGTGCTAAGCAACCGGGGGCGATGTTCATCAAGGGTGCTCTATTTCGCCATTCCTATTCCAATTCGTCGCAGACGAAATACTGGAGAACGCACTAAGCCGGCTCCAAAATGTTGGTATTGAATGGGCAGCTGGAGATAAGCTGTGCGATTTAGAGTACGCTGACTACCTCGTTTGTCTGTTCAAATGTACATATGTAGGATGCGCAAAGCATCCTTGACAGACTTTCAAACTCCGTAATTCCATTTGGTATGCGCTTTGCACCTTCAAAGTGATGCTACAAGATTGGGCCTCGTCTATCCCGGCTATGATACTGGATGGTCAAGAATTATTTATAGTGGATTGTTTTTCCTACTTAGGTAGCTCCGTGACAAATGATGGTAGCGTAGGGAAGTAACTGCCCTCATTCTAAGGCACGAGCAGCGTACGCAGGACTCAAACACCCTTAATGCAAACTTAATGTTTCCTTGAAACTGAAAGGTCGCGTATACAGCGCCGGTGTGCGGTCAGTTCTACTAACTACTAGCGCAACTATCAATTACCGCATCACGTTTTATTCGCAGTTGTGCCTCTGGGTTGGAATAACCACGTGGGAGTCAACAGATGACGTGGGAACATGGCATGAAGAAATGCGCAAAGCGATTAGGTAGAGTAGGTGTCTCTCGTCTTCCAGTCTGGGGTCTGTAACTGGTTGGTTGGAAACACTGATGGATACGGCAGCTAACCAACGGCAGTGACGTTATTGTTGTAATTTTTCATCACGCCAGAATGCTTGAAACGGTATATATGCATAGATTGTGCTGTAGTGCTGTGGTTTGACCACAGATGTTCACTTTCTTTGCCTTCCTCCAGCTAGGCCCAAAACCTATCCGTCTTGTACTTTCTTACTTTGTGTTCACCAAGAGCTTTGTAGCGATAAGCGAAGTTCACGTCTCGATATTCCGCTGTACGGTGATGGTAATGATATGATGACGTCCATAATTATGCATTAACTAAGAAATTATTAACTGATATGATAGTTATTTTTACACACCCTTCTGAGTCCAAACAGTGTCTTCAGACGGGGTCAAACGTCCAAGATGCCCAGTACACTTCGATACCCAATCAAGCCGGTGACCAATGCCATAGCCAGGAAAGTATAGACGAATGTGGTTCGTACGTCTCTTCTTGTTTGGTTTGGAATCATTGTTTTTAGCCAACTTCCGTTGGTGAACTTTCGGGGGTTCATCGACCGGGATGTTGGCTTTTCGTCCTCTCACTTTGGTGGGAAAACATCTTCACCACGAGAAGGCAGTGAGTAGTCCTTCCTCATCAGAGGATATTTGGGACACTTGGTATGGGAGCGTTTGGCGAGGTGCAAAGGTAGGTCGACGAGCCCTAATCCGAGGCACCCATTCCCGACCATACCGAGGCTTTTGTATGCTCGGAGGCAACTTCGCCACCGTCCGGCTCGAAACCCTTCTTGTTCAACCTTGATGCCTTCGGTAGTTTGCTCTTCCTGTTCAGATATATTAATGGCGAGTTTTAGCACACGCACTGAGCTAATCCGGATGAGCCGAAACCGACATAGTGGTGATCCTAGGGGACTTTAACGTGTAGGTTTGAAAACTGTGCTTCACGCATTTGTCTAGGGAATCGTCATTCCATCATCTCACCGAAAAAGGTGTGTGGGTCACGGATTATTTTTGTATATTAAATAGTCCGCATAGCTCTCGCCGAATAGCAGCACGGTACTCCAGCTAAACGGGAAGATTGAGCCAAATCTACCGCATATGGTTAATTTACCTGTACCGTTGTTCGGTTTAGGATTGCAGATCTTGTTGAACCACATGCGTTAACTCTGACCACACACTAGTCTTGATGCACTCTACTCTTAGACGCATTGGTCACTGGTGAAAATATCAACCTTGGTTATCTCATCATCGCCTGTCTGACACAACTGTATGCGCCCTTCCTGAGGCAAAGCTTCAGCAAGATCTACAGGCCCTGTTGAAGTGGTTAAATAATGAAATCCAATTTTCTAACAGAACACATAAGTTGCACATTATCTTATCAAACAATTCGCTGGTACTGTATTCTGTATTTATCATCCTGCTGTCTGTTTTGTTTTGTTTCTTACTGTCCAGCTAATAGCTATACATATTTATCTGCTTGGTGATCCTTGAGTTTTTGGAAGCGCTTAGGTGCTTTGAATTTGTGAAAAGATATCCTGAGCACTCTGTGAGGCGAGTCGCTCGACCACTATTTTCTCGTCCGGTCACCGATGAAGCAGCTTCCTGACACAGTGACGTCATTCAGTCAACATCCTTTTGTTGAAAGCTACCACCCAGTGGGAAAAATAAATCTGGATGGGTAATGATTGAGATGGAAGCAAGAAAGCAGATTTGCCGTAGTTTGAGATGGCCTGATAGAGGGTACTAACGCCAGCGATGATGAAAACGCATTGGTGTTGTTGCAGTGCGTGGGTGTCTAGGGTTGCAGCTGGTCACCCTGTCCTTGCACCTCGCGAAATGCTCCCACACAACCAAGCGTCTTGAATAGCCTCTGCTGAGGAAGCCCTACTCACTGCCT